CGGACTCTTACGCGATTCGAAGGTGCGTCTCAGGAGGTTTACTTCGTTACGCGCCAGTACTGATGGTTCGTCTGTAAGTTGTCATTATGTCGCTTTTTTTCCCATCAAACGAAAGGTGTTTTATTTATATGGTGTGCTATGTCCGTTGCTTGCCTCTTAGGAACACTGATAAGCGAATTGACTTTATCAGGGAATGTTTTGCGCTGTAAAGATTACATCGGTTTCGATTCCCAGAAATCTGACAGACAGGTAGAGCCTTGCGATGGGCAGCGAGATCAAAAGTGCTCCAGCGACAGCAGACGTGGCCGATGGCATTTTATAATGTTGCAGTTCAGCCGCGGCGCGGAAATTGTGCATGTCTGTACTGGAGCATCATCGTCAGTTTTCCGTAACTTCCAGGAGCACTCAAATCGAGAGTGTTATAGTGTGCCTGCGGCGTGGACAACCTCATAAGAAAATAATACTCCCTATAGGAATTACTATCGAGGATGATGGCTAGTGGCGCTTCGTTTCTGGTTCACAGTCGCAGTGCCGTTCTTGATGGCTTTGCCGTCAACGCATGCTGTATCGCTAAGAAACTGTGATGAAGTTCACGATCGGTATTCGCCTGTTACGTACCAGCTACGGCGAATATGTTTAATCTGATCTCCCAGTTGCATGCGATACTGAACACTGGTATCCCGCTTTGCCCGCTTTCTGTGATGTGTACATGAAGTTGGATTTAAATACAGTTGCACTCGTAAGACTTAACACTTAACATTTTCTTAACACTTAACACTGATCGAACGGTCGCATTTTCGGCGAGCGGTCGAACGCCAGAATATTGGCCGTCTTTCTCTTTTATCGTTGCTTCGCCTTCGCGAACGCGTGGCTTGTACAAATCACCTATCGCAGAGTATCAGGTAGAATAGCAACTTCCACAGTTGCGATGCGACGGTAAGTGTCGACCGCCCTGAATCAAGTTGTTCAGTTCTGGTATGCTAAACATGCTTGTCGATGTACTGCAATTATTTGTTGGATCAACTATTTTTGTTTTGATATTCTGAAGCCCTTTGCTGATTAAAGTTTAAAAATTTTAGAAATTAAAAAGTTAGATTCTCAACTTGATCATCTGAATAACTACTTCAGCCAATTTGAAGAACGGAATAATGAACTGAATAAACGTTTGGAAAATTTACTTACAACCAAAAATGAAGAACGCATTCGCCGGAGAGCTTCACTTATGGAAGTAATGTTTTTCGAAACATGTTTTTCTTGGTTAAATTAATGTATTGTTTTTTGCGTATGAATAATTTATTAGCTCGTTAACTCTGGATACCGCATAGTTACACTTATGCTTTGGTAAGGAGACTTAAAAAGCTTAAAGTTATTTTCCTACCGAATTTCGAACAGCATGTTCAGTTAGTTTGCGAATAGTAGCGTGTGATCGATCATATTCCGTTCTCGTTAAGAAACGAAGATAGCAGAATTTGATAGATTGTAAGTCAGTAGTGAGGTTTCTTGATCGCTTTTTATTGATCATCATAAACAGTTGTGGCTCAGCTGACGCGACTGTTTTGACCCAACATTTAGAAGCTGTATTATTAAATACTCTGGATTATCGATTAATCATGTTTAATCTGTCTTCTCTTCGAAGTTGCCTACGTACTGCATTTCGCCTTGCGCGTTGTCATCCATAATCGTTTAAGGTCTTTACAAAGTTGAGTGATGAAAGGCCCTCAGATCGAATCTTTCATTGAAGTCTCTTGCTTTTGCGATATGAATAATTACGAAGAAGTTTCTCGAACTGCATAGACGAAAGCGATAGCTGCATTGCGCCTTAGATCGGCGGGATTTCAGTTCGGCTTTGGACATAGAGCTGTTTGTTAACTCAGCTGAACTCAGATCTTCGCATCTAACTCAGTTTTCGACCGAATATAAGAAGTTGGCGAAATCTGCCAGTTGCGCTGCTGCGTCAAAGTCTCTGCTGGAGTTTCACACAAAAAAATCCGAAAACCGGTGCTAACTGCGCCTGGATTGGACATTGCTAGGAAAAACCCGGATTAGACTCGTTCAGTCTGCCTCAACACCGATCGCTCAATTCGAGCATAGTCGTTTTTCCTCAGTTGCATGCCGTATCGTGAAGACGTAATATAATATCAGCAGTGAGGGTGAAACGAAGCATCCTTTGCTCCTCTCCGTACCGTCTACTTCGACCGACAGGTTGAACTAGTTCTGTCGGGTGATTCATATCAGGTGATAAATCGAATAGAATTTCTTCGAAGTCGTTCAGAGTTTAGCTGCCCTTGATGTTTCAATAAAAAGTACAGATCCGAACACAAAGTCAAATTCTAGATTTAATGTCGTCATGCGCTGTCTTTATGACTCATTCGTCACAATCAGAAGACTTAAAGTGTACCGGAATTTAAAATTCGCTCACGTCTGTTTCGTCCAGTTTTGGAACCGATTTATACTCATATCTTGGGTCTGGTGCCATATTGTAGATAAAGACCAGATTTATCGCGATATGAATCAGGATGCGATCATTTTATTGAAAGCTGCTCTCGTCGAACATAGCCAGTTTTTTGTAGTTCATTACTTCAAAGAATCTTTTGATATGAGTAAGCATGACATGAAGTCAAGGGTCGACGACATGCTTAAGTTTTAGCTGAAGTCCCGGAAAGTTGCAGGTAATAGATGTTCCAGTGGTGTACGACCTAGGGCGAAAACTGCCGTTGGCTTGCTCGACAAGAACCCGTTGAAGCCACGCAAATAGTCTTAGATCCAAACGAAACTTTGAAACCGAATTCGGTGTTCAGTGTTTATTAATGCTGTAAAAGATGGTGCTTCTTTCTGCTTTCAGCATTCGCATGTACACCGTACAGCAGCACGATAATTATTACCTGATACCTGAAGAAAGCGGTAGGCGACATTAAATCATGAGCATTCAATAGAGTACGAATTCAGTGTTGTATCAGTGAATTTTTTGTACAAGTTCTTGTTTTTATGACGATGTTTCGTCGCATAGCGCCACTCCGATAGTGGCAAGCTGTTCAATCTGCCTGTGTGAAACGGATTGGTGCGTGAATCTGTGAGTCTTTAATAACAACGTCTGCGGATTTTACTAAATCGGTTCGGGTTATGTATACTCACTGCGATCCGTTTCTGAGCATTTTCTCCGAGTACAAACTTCATTAATGAGGTTCGACTACCTGAATTATGCTTGACACCCATGTATACGTTTTGAATTCATGGAAAGAAACCACTGGCTCTAGTTTCATGTACGGTTCGTACCAAATCTTGTTTGCCATTAATTACTGCTCGCCGTTAGCGCATTTCGACGGTCTTCAGCCACTGAGTATGCGAAGCTGTTGCTGGCCGAGCATCAGCTCTTGAATACAGGGTACAAAACCGCTGTTATGTTCCAGAATAGAATAAAGAGGCAGTATGCAAAAGATGTTCTTATATCGTTATGCACTGTCATCGGACTCGCAGCGACCACCCGTTTCCGGTTTGCAACTGGTTTTCGCGTTTACA